AGCCTTTTTAATTAAAAAGCCCTTTATTCAGAAAAAGGTTTTCTCAAACTACTGTTCATTGCTGACAGGATACAGAGGTTTCATGAACCTTAACATATACTGTCAATACTTTATTTTAATTTTAAATCATTGCATCTACTGCGCTCATTTAAATATTGGTTTAATGCTACAGAAGAAACAGTGCCACAAGATTGTGTAATTAACAGTGCGAAAGACATGATTAGAGAAAATACAGAAAGAATCATTTTTCCCTTGAATGGAAAAAAACTGTTCCAATTGTGGAAATAATGATGGCATTGTAACCTTCATCTGGACTGTGATGTCCACTCCGGCTGAACTCGTAGCCGTGTGCCCTTCAGACTCAGACAAACAAACTCTACGTTTTGGTCTTCGCCCACTTCTTCAAAACCCTCACACATTTACAACACACCGCTGTTGCTACGGTTACCAGCTCAAGCAGATCTTACTCAGTGGCACGTCAAACAAAAGGGCATTCTGGGAAGGGAATTCATGGTGTGGCGGCCCCTTTCATGCTCAAGCTCATAAAACTGAGCAGAGAAGTGACTGACCTGAACAACCTTGACACTCGCACACTGTAAAACAAAACAACTCCCCCAAAAAACAGATCAGTTTTTTGCCAACTTACATCTACTGAGACTTGAAACCCAAAGCCTTGAAAAAACATTTAAAGAAGAAAAAAGACCAGTTTTTTTTTTTCTTTGAGAAACTGCGTGTACATCCTGTGGTCTCCATAAGAAATGCATGAGAAGACAGTGCTTCATTAACCTTGATTAATGCTCTCAGTAAACTGGCTCCGAATACTAAATCCTCCAAGTGCTAAAAACTGCACTTATAACTGCCACCTGAAGCTGCCTCAAAAGTCTTTCTCTGTACACTGTGCCATTTTAAAATGCCCAGTACAAATTTTTTGAGCCTATAGTTTTCCACTTTATAACAGCTCAGTGATTAATGTGCTTTAATTAGTTTTAATTCTGTTTTTCAAAGAGTCTAATTCAGTACAGGAAGCCCTGGTTTTGTAGGCTATGAGAAAAAAAAAGCAAGATTACATCTCAATTTTTTATTTTCTTATTTTAACGATTCATCTATTTGGATTTTGTTTGTGCTTCAAGTTAAGGTGATGACTCAATTTTTTAAACTGACACTCGTGCCAACACAGGGAGTTGTGGTGTGCGTCTTTTACATCCAGTATAGTTTAAGGTCTCATTGGGTAGTTTCAAGGTTTACTGAAACCAACCTCATTGGTCCATTGTAGCCAATAAAGTTGTTACTGTAGGAGGGAAACAGGCTTCATTCATTACATTCAGTCTCTAGACGCTAAACAGATGAAGGTAAAATCTCAAAAGTTCATAACAGACTTCAAACAATCTGTGGCATTAGAGTGGTTACATTCATCTTTTATATATTATGTTTATTAGAACTCTGAGCGTATAATTTACATCCACAGAATGTTTTAGTCCAACTGTTGCTGTGGAACGGATTCAACACAAGAGCTTACTGGAAGAAGTGGAGCCATTAATAAACTGTGGTGAAGTGTTCGAGTGTTTCTCAACATGACGTAGTGAATTTCCCCATCAGTTTCAGTCAGAATTCTCTCTACAAGCATGTGAGTGTTGGACTCTGGAGTGATGTTCTGTGGTAAGAGCTGTAGATTAATTCTCCCTGCGGTGGAGCAGCATGTTGGTAGATTTCTAATCTTTCCCATTTCATTGCTGGAGAAAGAGAAAAAAAGACTTGCATGAGGCCCGAAGTGTTTCGTTTCACAGCAGGATGCCAGGGCTGAACTTTTGTGGTTTCTGTAGAACTAAATGAAGCTCATGTGGATGATTTACACGAGTGGGGACATCCAGCTGTGAGTCAGACATTTGTTCTCCACAGTAAAATAGACTTTCTCCAACAAACATTATGAGAATAGCATTCATGTGACAGTTGATTGTCACATTTATCACATCTCTCTTTGCTATTTCAATTATCCAACATTTTAAGAAGTGCTTTAAGACTGATATGCCGACTTCTGGGTGGGTCTCAATGGCAGAGGAGAATGGCCAGACTGCGTCAAGCCAATAGTAAGGGAACAGTAGCGCAAACACTCATAACAATGAAGAAGATGCAGAAGAACATCT